GTGGTAGTTAATGTCGGCGAAAAAAAGAATAGTCGAAAAAATTATACACCAAAAACCGCACCAACGCCACAAACTCCAAGACCAGGTTAGATACTGCTCAAGTAAAATTGCATCTGTCTTAGTAGAAGCTTTAAATTCCATAAAACGCGTTTGTGATTATAATGACAATTTTCTAATATATCCTGAAGTCTTCAAACTTATATAGTCACGTTTTACAGTATGACAATCTCAATAAAGATGCGTAAGATTTTTACGAATAACTCAAAAAACTTAGAATGAGTGTCTTCTATATTGAAGTTTCCTATTCCTTATGGACTTTCAATTCGTTTAAGACATTTTATATTTAAATCACTTTATTTCTTCAATATTACGGATTTTTGAAAATGAATTCTTATACCGATGTATTTGCTTTCATTTCACACTTGATTTTATTTTTATTTTTTTTAATAGTTACCCGCACTGGCTGCTAAATCTTGAAAATCCGGCATTTTCTGTTTATTTATTTTTAACTATTATTAACCTCTATTACAAATAAATAAATTATATTACTTGCCACTCTTGTGAAGTCTTAAAAATACAAACTTTGACCTTCGATGCTTCACTGACCTGTTTAATTCTAAAATTCGCACCAATACTGCTTATATTGTCACTTACTCCATGAAAACCGATGAAGAGTCATAATTAGACTTAAGGAAAAATACCCTGATTGTAATACCTTCCATTAGAAGGAAGTACATACAATCTTTCCATCCTTCTCTCTAACATATGATTATTAGATCTTATTTAGTACGCGATATCTCTACAAAACAATTATTGTCAGACGTAGACTCCACGAATTATCCCTTTGCAAGTTGGCATCCTCAGTCTCTGTAAACGAAACACGCCATAGAAATTCGTACACTACCTCTGGCAATTTAATCCTCACGAATCTCGAATTATTGCTTCGCTTCCCGGAAAATCGTCATCGGCTAAGAATGCGCTCGCTCGGCGACACCGTCGAGTCCTAGTTCCAGAACGCACAGCAAACACATTTCATTTACTATGGGCGGTGAAGGCATGGTGGGCGGAGGCGGTGTGGAGAGGGGGTAGGGCGAGCGGTCCAGGGTTGCGCCGGTGGACCGAGAGGCCAATGGACGGCGCCAACAATAAGGAGTGCGACTGCATATAATGCATATCGTATTGAAGGTTTCAACGTGTTAAAACTTGCTAACTCACTGGACACGTTGCAGATATGAGTGAGTGAACATTTGTTGCTGGAAAGATTTAAATGGGGCTTCATAAGGATGACAACAGCCGCGGAACAACTAGGTGCAATCATTTCAACTATTTGAGAATCACAGCGCGATACACTTATGAAAACTACGAAATTAATTATAAATTACTTTTGAATATCCAAAACACTATTAACTCAGAAATTTACTATATTTTTACGTCAGCGTTCGTTTAGAAAATAAACAAAATTAAACTAAATTTTTCTTATGTAACATTTCTTGAATAAACCTTTCCCAAAAATGAGTGTTGTAATGCGCTATTCTCGCATTTAGTTCAGTTATAAATTAATTCACTTATGCACAACAATCAATTAGAGTGAAATTCACTAAAATGTATTTAACAATATTTTTAAAACCTACTTTTAGAATCTTAAATGAAATTGTATTTAAATTTTCTTTTGAATAGTTTAGCTCTACTGGCTGATGCATTAACATATGAACGGTATATTTTATGTATACTCTGTACCAGAAAAGGACAATGCATAATTTACACTTTAGAAAACAGTCAGATCTGATAAATTTGGCATGCTTTATAAAGCCACTTCCATTTAATTCCCAACTCAATTAAGTTCTTTGTACAATTTATTTCATCTTCCAACATCTATACATAAAATATACCGCCCTTTTAATTCTGATTACTATGAAGTGAATGTTAGCACTATGTTGAAATAACTATTAAACTACGTGTATTTTATCATTTCAAAGTTAAGAACATCGGGTGTGATTGTCATTAAACGAGTAACAAAGTTCTGGTTTCTCTACATTACGTATTATGTCAATTTTAGATTTTTAGACATTACAATATGCAGTGCTTTGTAAGCCCAGTACAAAAAAATTAATATAGAATAAACATCATCACTACGTCTTCTTGTTCAAAAAAGCACTACTAGCCACAACGGCAGCTATAACCGAGATCAAAGGCAATGTCGAGGATATGCGTCGTTCCTGAAAAAACGCTGCGGCAACATGATGCTCGCATCGGCCCGGTGCGACGCACCAGGCGCCCCTTTGCCCCACAGAACAGCCCCCGCCGCGGGCAAAAGCGTGGATCGGGTGTCGGCGCCGCGCACCACCGAGCTCGTAGCAACCAGGCGAGGCAGAGCGAGCAGCGTTGTATGTATGGGGCTGACGAGCGAGCAGGCCGGAATAGCAGAACGGAAGATGTGGGCGACGGGTTGCAGTGATGAATCAGGCGGAGTGGAAGGGGAGGACGAAGGAGAATAGTGATGCGGGCGGGCGACTAGTGGCACTTGGTGTGAATGGCTTGACGGGCGGGCGGAGCGGAACGAGGAAGTGGAGCATCGACGAGTAGACGGACGGGAGAATTGGAGGGAGCATAAGCGAGCGCGCGGCGGAAAGATCAGGGCGATGGAGATGGATGGATGTGGACCAAAGTCTATTCTCGCTTAACGTTCCCGGTCGACGTCGCGTGTAACTGTCCCTTGTGCGAACGTCCCGAGGGCCCGCGTTCTCCGAGTGACTGGCAGGCGCACAGCCGCTGCCAACAGTTCGCCTGCTCCTCAGGTTTCCCCCCGACGCTTGTACCGTTTTTCCTGAAAATTCGGTTTCCTCTTCATTCGTTATACATCGTTGGTTCCCAGTTATTCATAATATGTTATTCTCTAAAACAGTGTGGTTTTCGACATGTGTTATTCAAAAGCCGTGTGTGTTGTAGATGAAGCGACAATGCTGGTGCAATATTACACGATGTGTGTGCGGTTTGAATAGCATCAGGCTAATGCAAAATTAGCTTTCTTTGAGTATCAACACACAAATCATCAGGACCTGTGATCTAGATGCAAGTTGCTGAATTGCAATTACTATACAGACACTATCGTCAATAATCGAAAGTAATATACCTGTAAAACAATATGTGGCTCCAAAACTTATCATAAACTAATACGGAGTCGTTTCTGAACGTTGGCCACGTCTAAGATGATAGACGTCGTCGTGTTCTGTTGCACGTAGCGCGCGCCGGCAGTGCTGCAGCAACAGCAGCAGCAACAGCAGCTGGAGCGGGCGGAGGCCTGCGCTAGGCTTCAAACGCGAGCGCGGGGCGTCGCTAGCGCCGCCGCCCCCGCCGGGCCCGGCGCGCCTGCTGACTGCGCAAAGGGCCTACGTGCGCCGCCAGCTGACCGGGGCCGAATCCAGCACGGGCTGCCGCTCAACATCTGAGTACGAGCTGATCGCCTTCACCACTTCACCGTCAGCCGCGTGGTACCCGGTGGAGCTGGGCTGGGCAAGGCGCTGTGATGGAGAAGCATTCGGCTTCAAGCCGCAAGGACCTGCTGGAGGCGCTGGTGCGCGCATCGACACGCTCAACCGCAACGCGAGCGCCCGCTTTGGCGCCGAGTGGAGTCGCTCAACGCCGGCTGCCGCCGCGGCAAGTACACCGCTGGACGACTTTCTGAGGGCTGTACCGCCCAGCCCACCCACGGCACCCAGTCGAATGTACTTCACGCACCAAGCCGGCGCGGCGCGGGCGCGCCTCCGCAACGCGCACGAGTCGCACGCAAACGGCGTACACCAACGTGACGCTATGCGCCGTTCGCCCCGCTGCAGCCCGTCGCCACCGAACGCTGCCGGCCGCCCCGCGAGAAGGAAATCATCCACATCACCTGCCGCTGTCGGGCCGCACCGCCACCTTCCAGAGCTTTCATGGACAAGTTCGTGAAGTCGCGCTGTCAAGAACGTCGCCGCGTTGCACCTCACGTGTGTAACTTCGAAGGATGCTGTCGGAGCACGCGCCATCATGTCGCGCTGCTGCTCTACCAAGAACAGCCGCCCAACAGCCCACAACCTGCGATTGTGGCGCTTATAACGAACCTTCTGCGGTGGAAGCTGCCGTGGGGCGGAGAAAGGCGTGGACCACCCGGCGGGCGGCGGCGGCGACGGCGGGCGGCGGGGGCTGGCCGCCGCCGCCGCGGCCGCCGCCGCCTCCGGAGGCGCGGCGGCGGGAGGCGACGTGCTGCTGTTCATGTGCGACGTGGAGATCGTGTTCAGCGCGCGCTTCCTGGACCGCTGCCGCTGGAACACCAAGCCCGGACGCAAGGTGTACTACCCGGTGGTGTTCAGCCTGTACAACCCGCACGTGGTGTACACGCTGCAGGGCAAGGAGGTGCCCTCCGAGACGGACCAGCTCGTCATCTCGCGCGACACGGGCTTTTGGCGGGACTTCGGCTACGGCATGACGTGCCAGTACAGGTGAGCATTGCATTGATGCTTACGTTCTCGTACGGTTTTTTTTAAGGAGGGAATGGGGATCTTTTGGTCGCAGGGACTGTAAGCATTAGTATCTCATGGTCGCAAGGGAATATTGATACATCATACAATGTTTCAGCAGTGATAAATATCAATTTTCAGCAGGACCTGTATGTCTACAGGTTGGTGCATCAGACTGTGTGTATTCATTTTCAGCAGCGTTGGTACATGTTGTAAGTTTTTTTTCCCTTCTGAATATAATGAAGGGCATTTACTTTACATTTTATGAAGGTTCATGAAATAAATTATTACAAATGTCTGTAGCAACTAATACCTATAAAAAATCTGCTACAATCTTAAACCTATTTTTAAATAAGCCAAACATTCCATTGGGGATATTGATATCTGAAATGACTACTAATAGTGGTTTTGGTATAGATGAGTTATTTTCAAGACTTCTGCAATGGATCTCTTTTATTAGTATAGCCTCTTATTGATATCTAAAGACTAATTTAAAGCAACAGACATCAGTTTCGTAAGTATTATTAGAACAGAAGTTATCTAATTATCCGTGGTCTCCTACGAATTATTATGCGTGGGATGAATAGTCATATTTAAACGAAAAATATAGTTATTTGTAATAGTAAATATACCGTTCCCAAATGGCCTTTCCGGTGGTTCCTCGGGTTATGAGTATTTCCTCGTCCTTGTGGGTGGTAGTGTAAAATTATGATATTCCATATATTCTGTAGATAATTGCCCTTCCCTAAGTAAAGGATTTTTGGTTGTCATTAATTTTGTCTTGAAGCCCACTTTCACGAGGACGTCTGGAAGTCTACATTCTTTACTGTTTTTCCATTCATTACCCTACCGTAAATGTCCCTCTCCTACGTCTGAAACATTTTCTGATATCAGAAATTTTATTTCAGTACTTTGTAGTACTAAACTCTTTTGTATTATTTATCACATTTTCACTTATGTCTTTTAATAAAATATAAAGCGATACTTGATATTTTTTAAATTTATTTGTTGTTTTCTTTCTAATTTTTCTTTTCGTATTTGGGATTGTTTCGTTCCTACTATTTCATATTTTCTTGTAATTTCTACTTATGCTTTCACGTGCACATTTCCACTGATCTAAGTAGACATAATTCACAGGCACATTCGCGTGCCTGTTATACTGCCTGTAAAACATCATCAGTCATTACGTGAACGTTACTTAAAACGTGAAGTTGAGAGACTTCCTTCACGAAATATACTCTCAGACAGATGAAGACGACTCTTTGAAAATAAGGCTGAGAATGTTTTCCACATTCCAAATCATTGTCTGTGTATGGTTGACCCTTTGAATGACTTCGATGGAGTATCTGGAAATCCATCTCGTTCGACAATGTAGTCACTCAGTGATTGCGTTGTGTCTTTCGCAAAGACTCACGTTATCTCCTGCAGGAGAGAACGCGAACGAAGCGAAACACTCGCGCGCACTCTCTAGAAAGTCTCCAAGTTTTGCTACAAGATCGCGCCACAGAGCGCACGAACAAAATCTTGCGAGTGAGACCATCATCCCACAAACACTTGATGTTGCAAATATTCTGAAACTTCTTGTCACAAATTTGTCAAAGACGACACATTTGTCAAAAATAAAAAGGGTTGTGCGTAAAAATGTAATTGCCTCTCAAAACGCTTTGAGGAAACGTTGTAATGTAATAATGTTCAACTTTACAATAATGTAATTTTTTACTTATTAGGTTTTTGTGTTCTCTGTTGTTTGGATTCTGAAGTTTCTCTACTTCTCATAAAATTCCTTCGTTTTTATTTGTAGGAATGGATTTACAAACATGTTTTCAAATAATTTAAATTAGAAACTAAAATTGTTCCTGCAAAAGAGATGTATAGACTATGTGCAACAGAAATGTATAGACTTTGCAAATTATTAAATAATCTGCCTTAGAATGTGGTTAATTTATACTGAGTCACATGAATATTTCAAATTATACTTATAAAATTATGTTTCTTTAAACTTCAAATACCTTGTGTTGTCTTGGTAGTTATTAGTCACAATACGCTATTAGGCAGGAAAAGAAATTACTAATTATATGTAGAACTGTATTGTACTACCACCTTATTTTTTGGTTCGGCCTGTCAAGTTCTGCCTTTTCCTTTCTTTCTCCTCTCCCTTCCTCATCCCGCCTACTCAATTCCACCCTGTCTTCCCTCCCTCGCGCAGTCCCTACTCGTTTTGCGTCACCAGGTCCAGCCTCTCACAGTATTGACTTCGATTACCGCTGCTACCGCCATAAGGGTAGCTGAAACATATACGTAAAATTGCAATCGAAATCAGTTCAGCCGTTCCCGAGATTTCCTTGGACAAAAGAAGACAATTGATTTTGTCACAACTAAATAAGCATATGATATTGTACACTGATGGTGCTGCAAATGGCACAGGCTTTCTCGTACTAGTTAGTTTCCTAATTTCTTTGGTCTGAGCTAGCTTTTCCGTTTTACCTCAGCCTTTTCACAGCTGCCATCTATCCTCCCTCAAAGTATATTTTTTCATATTTTTTCAAATTTTCGGACCCTTAATGATAGAACTGAAATATGACGTTAAGGATATTACAGAAAAGTAAAATATCGTCTTATATGGCAAATTTTTGTTGAAAAACATTAGTACCGTTTTTAAGAAAATGTCGTTTAATATCGGACACGACGACCTCGGATACTCGCAAAATTGCACCGAATAAAATTTGATGAGGTAAAATGTTCATGTTTTAAGGCAAAATATGCAAATAAATATTATTGAATGTTGAACAAATATAACATTATTTACGTACCTATAACATTAAAAGGACTAGTTTTATAACAAATCCTTAGCGGGACTTTTCTGTAGGAAATTTTGTCAACTTTAATTCTGTATTTTTACGGTAGGATTGTTTGTTTCGGAGATACATGCAAATAACTTAGAAAAGTAATCTTTAAACGCCCCCTACTCACCCCTTCCAAGGCTCACCTCCACACCTCCAGATTTTAGTATAATATGCGATAGGTACCAAAGAACAATCATGCCTAGTTTCTAAGCTCTGAGTTCTAAGATTCACCCGACTTGTCTAATTTTACTGTGTTACGTGACTCGATCGATGAAAAGTGATATAAAAAATATGAAATTTAATATCTCACGTTACTTGTACCATTACAAATTATATAAATAACACTCCTTTGTCTAACATATTATTTCTTTTTCTCATCACTGATTTCCTCCATTCACTTCGTCGCATATTCTTCCTTTCTAACTTTCACCGCTTCCCCAACTCCCTAACATGTTATTTCATTTTCTTTCTCGCCCTTTTTTTTAACCTGCAGGTTCGTAAATCGTGTGGCAAATTATCTCAGTCAACACTGCTGAAAAAAGAAAGAGGCGAACACATGGCTGCAAGCCAGATAGTGAATAGGAGAGCAAGTGAGAAAAAAAACGTGTTAGCACGTTTGGCAGAGAATGAGAAAAGAACAGAATGAGAAAAGAACAGAACGAGATAGGATTCGGCGAAAGAGAGAGATAAGCTTTCTATCTCATAATAGAGATGAAATACCGTATAAGATGATGACGTAAAATGGGATGAATGTGTGAGAAATGCTAGGAACTATCTCCAATTGAGGGGTTGCTGAGACTAGAAAACATGCGTGGTGAAAGTGCACGTAGAAAGTACACGTAAAGAAAGTAGAAGTCATGCGTGTCGTAAGAGATGTGATTATTATTATTATTATTATTATTATTATTATTATTATTATTATTATTATTATTATTATTATTATTATTATTGTTATTATTATTATTATTACACGCGAATTGGATATTTATGACCAAGCTCTGAGTCTCCTCGGCATAGACGACGATATTATTATCTTCATTATTATTATTATTAATACTACTTTATTATTATAAATAGTACTAATGTTCTTTGTATTATCTTTTTAGATCCGACTTTTTGAAAGTGCGAGGATTTGACGAAGAAATAGTTGGCTGGGGAGGTGAAGACGTGATGCTTTACCGAAAATACGTCCGCAGCAACATGAAAGTAATAAGAGCCACTGACCCCGGGATCTTCCACATATGGCACCCAAAGGTAAAAGCTTTGTGCTAAGAACCTACTTGTCTTTCAGTAACAACCCGTGATGTCCCCTCTTATGAAGGGAATTTGGGGAAGTCTTGTTGAGACGTGATTGGTTTAATGCAGTGTCTCCAGTATTGCAAGGTCTCTAAGCTTTACACTTACAGAACTTTGCAATTTGCGAGATAGACCCTTCTGGAAGTGTTTGCTAGACCTTGATGCTTCCTAGAATTGCTTTGTGTCTTGAAACAGGGTTGTAAAAGAATATATAGTTATAGCACATGCTATTCTCGAAGTTTTCAGAAGTTTAATAAAAAAATAACTTTTAGTGTGTTATTCTTAATTATATTTATTTTATAAAAATGTATTTGTGAGAATAGTATCATGTAGCGTTCGGAGTAACGAAGAAATAAATTAATTTTAAAACGACTTGGTGTAGTAAGGTACATTAAAAGTGCGGTGTGGTGTGCACTTTCCAAGACGTCACTTCGGGTCTAGGGCACGTAAGTTTCCAGTTACAGTACTCATTATTATATTATTATTACTTCACTTATTATTAATACTCAGTAAGTTTGTTTTCATAAGTACATTATCGAAAGTTTATTACCGGAATATTGTTTTTGTTATTATATTTTTGTTTTTGTAACTTCAATTAACTTCCATCAGTATACCCTATTGAAGTGCTTACTTCAGAAGTGATGTATTTCCGTAATATTCAGAAAGCAAAAATATTTCAAATTCAGCGTTATATTTCAAGACAATATTCAACGTTTTGCACAAGAGAATCAATTTTTGAACAAAATATTGGCTCTTTGATGAAAAAGGGTCTAAAGATTTATCTGTGTTTATTCATAAAACTAACAAACAAAAGCAGATGAAGATATGTCACTTTAGAAGTAATATCTTCAATCGTAATTCAAATAAATTATTTTTTAGAATGTGTTAATCCTTTTCGGTCTGTTAGTCTTTTCAATGTTTTTAGTAATACATAATGACATTTCCATTCAAAGGTGATAACATTTTTACGCATTTTATAGCTTACAATTAAATATTAACTAATTACAGAGGAGTGTACAGGCAGGGTCCACTAACTACTCGAAATTATTCCTAAATAATTGACACTGTTAACTGTTTTCTGTTTCCTGTTTTACGAAGGTTTACGTTTAAACTTATAGGGATGTAAGGTGGAAACTAATTTAAATTTTTGAGTTGCAGGGCAAAATAGAAGGTTTGTGTGGACTAATCTGCTCCGGAAATTAAAATGAGAAGTGTTTAACTATACATATAAAATGTGTCAATTACGGTGTCGAATCCCAAAAAAATGTTTTTTTCTTTCCGATTTTTCTTACCGCTTCTTCCTACTGACCGATGTTAAGCTACGACTCACGTATCTTACGAGAGGGTATCAATCGCTGTGTTGTTGTGCAATGAACCGCCTATGTATCATAACGTAACCTCTTTGATTTTAACATGCTTTCAATTATTTCTGTCACATTGACTTTCAGTTACATTTGACGCATTCCAGTAATTTCATTTGTCGAACAGTCCTATTAAAAACCCCTCGTGCTTTGGAAATTCTCAGATCAATTCCCTCCTCGCTTCGCGAGTCGGGGATTCATCGGCAATTTCCAGCGAACTCGTGGTATCACCTCTGATAAATCCCGCATGTGTGTGTGGCAGGTGTGCGCGGGAGGGCCGGGCAAGCAACGGCTGTCCGCCGACCAGTACCGCGCGTGCATCCGCTCGCGGGCCCTCAACGAAGCGTCCCACGCGCAGCTCGGCTTCCTGGCCTTCCGCGAGGACATCGCCAACCACAACCGCGGCAAGGAGCAGACTTGATCGCCGCCGCCGCAGCCACCGCCGCCGTCGCCACCGCCGCCTGCCGCCGTCCGCCCCGCCGCCGCCTCCGCCATCACCGCCGCCGCGAACGAGCTGCCGGAGCTCGCGCTTCCGTCGGGGCGAATGGAGTTCTGACTGCCGGCCCCCAACGCCATCATCTCGCTCGTCGTTCGGCGCCCAGCGGTTAATCGCCATCTGCCGTCGTTGGCTGCTGGATTCTAACGGCGTTCAGCCGCGGACCTCCATCTGTAGCCAAACGAGTGCATCTGTGTGTGTGTGGATGTTATGTAACCGTTCAGCGTGAAGACATCTCCGCCGTTTGCGAAGTGAGACGCTGCGTGTGTGGTGTAGGACACCAACAATCACTATCTTCTGCGTGTGCGGCGAAGCGAAACAATTTTTGCGCGTGTATATTCGAAGCCGGTCTATCTGTAGACTGGACTAGCACGCGTTATCATCTGTTTCTACAACAATGTCGTATTTTTATGATTGCCAGAATATCTCTTGTTATGCATTCTCCGATTAAAATAAGTATGAGATTACCGATTGGCACCGAGGTGAAAACCTATCACAAAGCCCATAAAACCGTGCTTGTATCCGTTTGCAAACTGTGAACGAAGTGTCGAACAAGCAATTGGGCTGGAAACTATTACAAAGCTTCAAGTGGTTTTGTATACCGTGGTAAATCTCATACTAATTTTATTAGAGCTGTATTACACTGACATAGACCGCACGGCAAGGCGCATTCTCAGTCACTGATGTATGTTAGTGCTGCAACTTCCGAGGCAATCAACTGCCCCTAGAGGGCCCCACGGCGTACGGTTCGCCTCACAGGGTACGTGGCGCTTGCTATGGAACTGCCAGGATATTATGTATTGTGATAAATGGCATGATAAGTGGTGCTCCGACTGATGACAATTATTCGTGACTGTTGACGAAAAGACCGTTCCAAGACGTGTGTCTTTTTGTATGTATCATCCTACGTAAAAAACGCGTGTGACGTGTTATTTATGCATCAGTGCTTTCGATTCATCCCATGTACGTAAGAACTGACCCTGAACCATTGCTAAATGCTGTTTATAGACCCAAATCCGTATGTATGATTGGAAAAAAAGAAATTAAAGACTGCTATTCTATTATAGAATGTGTTGGATTCTGTTGTGTTCTCTGTAAACAAAATCACCATGAACACTTATATGTGAATGTAGTTTCTTGATTCGTGTCTGGCTATTTAATATATGTTGTGTTTATACATTTAGAACATTGATACTTAAGTGATTAATCAAGAAATGATTTTGGTGTTAATACTGTTTCACAAGAAAAACATTTACTATTGATCTGTCTTAAATATTCACGCGTTATATAAAAAGTTCATCAGTGGATGAAGACTGTGATAAATATGCGACAACTAAATATTAAACATAGCCCTGTACATATGGGGGACTATTGTACAGAAGACAAAATTACTCTAGTCATTTTGTTTTGTTCTTATGGATTTAACCAAATATCGAAGCAAAGTTGTAGAAAAAGCCATATATTTCCATAATTATGAGCAGTAGTTCATAAGATTTTACAAGAAAGTGACCAAAGAGAGGACTTACAACTACTTAAAAATTGTATACTAAAATCTGGAGTAAAATGTTACCAATGTAAACAGTGTATTATTTCACCCCTTCTGTTTACGTTGCTGTGATTTAGGGATAAAATAATCTGCAATTAAAAATATTAACTTTTAATTTCACGTTAATGTTATCATAATGTTTTTAATAATTACAGTGTGAAGTCAAGAGCATTTTTGAGTTTCCAAACATGATATCAAAGTTTCTTCCAGTGTACACTAAATACCTTTACTACCAATAATATTTGATTTTACGAGTAAGATTTTTTGTATTCCATCGTTCTCTTAAAACATAATTCTTTGTGCATTTCCTTCTCCAAAATTGATAGAAAGAAGAAGCTGAAACCATACGATGTTTTCTTGAACGCATGCCTGGTGTGGTAGAGGATGTAGCAAGGTAGTGGAGTTCAAAGAAGAAACAAAACTTTGAAATGGATTCAAATATTAATTTTTTAGATGACACGAAACCTCGTTTGCTGTGCAGTGTAAATAAAGGTAAGTAAATCATTGAATAGAATAAAAAAACAAAAATCTTTAATGATTTCTATAAACTTATCACACTGAATCCTTAGTAAATGATATTTTTTACAACAGCCAAAAATGTCAACTGAAATTCTTTCAGACCGGTGCATTCTTATAGTCCAAAGATAACAACTTATATAGTAATGGAGCAAACTTCTCGTCTTTTGAGTCCGTTGATCATAATCCTAAATTATTATTATTATTATTATTATTATTATTATTATTATTATTATTATTATTATTATTATTATTACCCTTTGCTGGTTTCTGGTTGAATTTTTCATAACTGAATTAACATTGCAATTTTAATACACAATGACGAAATTCCCTCTTAACGTAGAAGGTTTCTCAAAAGCAAATTATTTTTGTTAGGTAGGGACGTCTATACCTCAATGAATAATTACAGTGAAACTACTTTGAATTACTAATGAATATTCGGGCCACATCTGTCCAGTAATAAATTTCCAAAATATACTTCACACTCTATTTTAAAGTACAAGTGTGGTACTAAACGCTTCCACTCCGAAGCAATTCGGTTATCATTTAATAAAGGAGATTGACTACAAATATAACGTATGTAACAAAGTTTCTATTTACTTTCGGGAGGGAAGGTAAAGGTGAAAGACTGCAAATTGAACTTTTTTTCTTTATGAATGACTTATATTCAGGATACATAATAGTTCTACATCTAGAATGATTATGAAGGCGATTGTGTAGGTGTACGTCAGTAACGACATCTCACGCCAATTTCTAATTGAAAGTGTCGCATTAATATTGTTGAAATTTTCATTTCTTCGTACACTGCTTTTAGATGATACATGTAGGATGGAAGTTTCAAATACTTGGTTGACTTTTAATACACAACAAACATTTTAACTTCTTAAACTTATTTCAGTTCCTATTTAGAAACATTGAATGTATTCATACTTAAAAAAAACACAACAGTGAAACTGTTTAACTGGATTTTATTGTTTACTCACATGTTCAGTACAGGCAACACCAATCAATCCGTGAGTGAAAAAATTGTTACAGAAATTTACATTTTACAGCAAAATGCAATGAAATATAATTATAAACATAAAATAAGCACCACATGCCATAGCGAACAAGCTATCAATTGCCAATCTTACCTGAGCTTGAGTCGGAAATCGAACCTTGAATTTCCCGGTCAGAGGTACGGCATCTTCCATCTCTCCCGGTCTGCAACCTTCGTCAGAGAGAAATGCTCAGAGATGGACTGTGCACGAGTTTATATAAAAGCATTCAATTCTTCTTCTTCTTCTTCCTCAGATTTAGTACAATACCTTTTCTACGTCTAGGCGATTGTTTTAAAAATCTACTCTGTTGGGTGCTGTTGGTGGCGGCGCCGTTCCGAAGCTCAACGTATACCCCAGAACCGCAACAAACGTGAGCGGACATCGACTTCTTCCACCATGTGCAAAACAACGGAATTTGAGACACAAACCAGCTGCGGCCCAATTTAAGGTAGAAATTATTCTTTATATTTTCACTGAACGAGCTACCAGAGTAACTAGACCGTAACAACACCAGAAGAGAGAGACGCGTCGCCACACGCACCGTTTTCAGTTAGGAAATGTGGCTTTCCAGAATGTATATTGTCTGTGTTGTAATTTCAAATATTAGTGTTTTTTGTATAGAGCTTTGTTTCGACGAGCAAATGCTGAACTATATCACGCAGTATTTTCTACATCGTTTCTACGAGGCAAGGGGAAACGTTGTTTGATGAGGGTTACAGCAATGCACACTGAACCTGAGGCTGCAATAGCTGTGAAACGAGGATCACCGAAAATGAAAATAGGGGAGTAGTGAAGCTTGTACAAACATTCTAAATAGTTGAATTAGAGGAAGGTAGTCTTCTTTTTCCATGTGAATAGTTAGCATAGGTATAGATATTTATTGTGCTCATAGTAAAGGGTTTTATAAAAGTGTGTACATATTGAATGAGGAGTTTTCATTTTGAAAGGCACGACCTTTTGAAAGCAAGTCGGGATCTGTAACATTGATGGCATTTTCTATACAAATAAAGGAAGTACTAAAGAATTGTTATAGAGTTTTACGTTGTTTTGTTCAGGAAATTCAGAAATGTAATTCCAGTAGGTAGATAGCACATT